AGTTCTCAGAGAATGCACGCAAACATAGAGTGGAAACACTTTTATTAAATTTTATACAAAGAATGAATAAATCGATTTGACATTACATGAGATTTAGAGTACAAAATATTAAAATTTATGAATATTCACAGTATTTTCACAATAAAAACCAACAAAACGTTGAAAAAATTGTTTTATCATAAGAATACACGAATGAAAAATACAATTAGAGAGAGAGAGCAAAAGAAGAAGAGAGACGAAGAAAAGAAAATCAATTGAAAGTAACTTTTGCTCAAACAATATATGAGCCAAACATTGCAAAGAATGCAGAGATGGCATATCGGAGTCTATGATAGAGACAATACATTATATAATATAGAGTTGAGTAAAGATTTTTACCCAAAAAGTGTGTCTCTGTTTGTGAACTCCATATACAGTACAGTAAGAGAAGAGAAAGTGAGTGAGACTTACTATACGTAGAGATAATATTAAGATATACTGTGTTTGTAATCAACAAAATTGAGTTAATGTTCACTATTTTTCCTATTCCTATATTCAATAACAATTTTGGGATTTAGTCCACAGTTTTTATCTCATTTTATTTGACATATAAAGCAAATAAATAATAATATGGTATAAGATATTAGATATTATTCTTAACCATAACTGGAAACAAGAATTAAAATATTGTATTCATTGTATGTGTGTTTCCATACCATAGAAATAAGGAGTAATAAAAATAAGCATTTCATTGATATTTATGTCTCAATAGATTTTATACAAAGAATGAATAAATCGATTTGACATTACATGAGATTTAGAGTACAAAATATTAAAATTTATGAATATTCACAGTATTTTCACAATAAAAACCAACAAAACGTTGAAAAAATTGTTTTATCATTATACAAAGAATGAATAAATCGATTTGACATTACATGAGATTTAGAGTACAAAATATTAAAATTTATGAATATTCACAGTATTTTCACAATAAAAACCAACAAAACGTTGAAAAAATTGTTTTATCATAAGAATACACGAATGAAAAATACAATTAGAGAGAGAGAGAGAGAGAGAGAGAGAAATAAGCGTAAATTATATTTTGTAAATATAGTAAAAACACAAAAATAGATAAAAAAAATTGATTTGAGATCTGTTTTCATATTCCAAATAAGAGATGATTTGATATAATTTACAAGAAAATCAATGAAAATTGTATCCAAAAATAGCCACTATTTGCTGTCACATAGTATTCACTATAAAGGTTTGAATCGCAAAAAACATACCATAAAACAATTTTTTATCGAAAAACTACCGTTAGATGTAATCCATTTGTATTACACTTTTATATAATAACGAAAGTTTATATAACTTTCTTTTAAACGAAACCGGAGTTAAATTTTTAATAAGAAATAATAAACAATTCTTGTGTAAAGAGTGTATCCATTATTAAAAAGTTTACACATGATTAATGGTGTGTAACTATACAGCAAGAGAGAGAGAGAGAGAGAGAGAGAGAGAGACCTGGAAGGCATTATTACATAGATATGTATAAATATAATAATTTGATGGATATTTCTCTAATGTAATGTAGACTTACTTTTATGACTTTATTTTCATACACTCTAATAGCAGTTGAGCCAAAAAGTTATTTCTTCTCATCATTTTAAGCGTTTATACAAATGAATGAATGTTTAAATAATATTTATATGAGAGGTTTTAGTTCGTGTTTAATGTCTTTTTCTGACTGCCAATCGATTTAACTGTTGAAATATAGTATGCATTGTATTCATTGCATTAATTGTTGATTATTTATACCCCGAAAAAACAATTCAAATGGGGAATCAAATTGAAGGCCTATTTGCGAAATGAGTGCCGAAAGACTATAATTTATAACACTTTATTAAATATTTATTTTTCTGAGTTTTTGTTTTCAACTAATTATGTATTATTATTAATGAATGAATGGATGTTAAAGTATTTGCGTTGAGATAACAGAAAAATCGCTTATTTTTATTACAATTTTCTCTCATTTTTGGTGACTCTCGTTGTATTGAAAAGTAGTTTTATTATTATTTGAGTTAACGATTCATTATTTTGTTATTCCTAGTGTCAGCACTATTTATCCCTCAATATTTGGGCTGCAATTCGTTATTCAATTATTTAATGTATTTCTTGTTGAGACACGAAACTTATGATTTATGAATCTAATACATCTTAATATCTATTGATGTATTGATTGCACTATTTATCAAATGAATTCATTTAAGACACAAACATGTTTTACAATGCGCCCAACTTTGACCCCAATTCTTGTATACATAACCACATTGTGGTCACAGAATTGTGCGAAAAATTTATTATCACTTAATTTGTCATTTACTACAGTACTTATCCATTTGCTATACTCTACAGTACAGTAGACAATACACTCTGGTTTACATAGATTTCTTATACACCAATAATACGTTATATGATTTGCTTATAATTAACAATAAATAAATGATTTTGATGTTGAATCGCAGGTGTAATCCTATAAGCGATGTCTTAATTGAAAACACTTGCAATCATTGCTAGAAATTTAATAAAAGTGTTTTCACTCTATGTTTGCGTGCATTCTCTGAGAACTCATTCAACAAATAGACTCAAAACACAGTCTCTCTCTCTCTCTCTCTCTCTCTCTCTCAATATAACTATAACTGATTTACGAAACAATGAGTCTGTTTTATATTTATTTCCTTACCTTTTCATAAATAACTAAAATTTATTTGTGTTTTGTTTTTCATTCGCTTAAAACTTATATTACACTACTTTTCGGCAATTCCTTTAAAACATTGCATTGACTTTTTAAGTTCACTATTGAATAGTTTATGTGTTTTTTATATATAAAAACTCTCTCTTTTACGACTTGATAACGAAATAAACAAAAATCCGAAACAAGAAGTCTATATCCAAAGGAGAGGTTAACAGAATTTTGGACAATAAAAAAACAAAACACAAAAACGACTCAACAAAAAGTGATGCGAATTGAGGTCAACGTTAGATCTGGAAAATGAAATTTTAATATTAAAAGACAAGTGTTTTCACAGTATTTTCACACCTCTTCAGTCAATGGTATCGGAAAATGTATTTTTTGTGTTTTTTGGTTAATATTAAAAAATATTTTTTGTTACAAAATGATCTCTGTTTGAAAATTTAACTTCAATTTTGTGCTACAATGAAAATCGTGAAAAACGTTACGCTTATATTTATATTGAATTTTATAAAATGATTTTTTGCTCTCTCTCTCTCTCTCTCTCTCTCTCTCTCTCTTGCTGTATAGTTACACACCATTAATCATGTGTAAACTTTTTAATAATGGATACACTCTTTACACAAGAATTGTTTATTCGATACCATTGACTGAAGAGGTGTGAAAATACTGTGAAAACACTTGTCTTTTAATATTAAAATTTCATTTAGTGCTGTTTTGCGACAACAATTGCATTGATTGTGCATTTTTGTACATTTTTTCATTCAATAGTTATGTTTTGTGTTATATTAAAAACGAAATATAATTTTAGATCAAAAAACATATCTCTTGTAGTATTGGATCAATAATTTACACGAATATGTAATACGAATGCGTTGTCTATATATTTAGTGTCCATTTTCAAGAGATTTCGCTTTATTATTGATATTTCAGTCATAATACTATTCAATACATTAGATTTTAAGCTAAAATGTTATTTGAAATTGTATTTTGAGAATACATTTCTTTATCTCAAAACAAAAAATAATGATTAAATTATTTGGAAGAGAAACAGAAAGACATCACTCTTTTGCCGATGAATTAGTGGATGAAAACGTTTTTCGCAACGAAAAACCAATTTTGTAAAGAAAATCCAGATTTGTTGATATTATATACAAATAAACCTCCGGGACATACAATCGCTTGAAAATAAAATAAACTTAATTTGTCTTTCAATTATATAAAGAAGAGAACATTATATTGAATGCAAACCATTTGATTTATTAATATAATTTAATCTTTGGTTGTGTTCAATGAATAAATAATATAATTTACAAAATTAATACAAAGCAATCTAATACTCTCTCTCTTTCTCTCTCTCTCTAATTGTCAATCGACGGGTAATACAGACCAAAGTTGCCTCTCTATGCATCTCAACGATGATTGATGTCAAGCGTTATAATTAGCCTGATTTTCTTTTCTTCGTCTTTTGCTCTCTCTCTCATTGAAAGCGAAATGCAATTTTCGTAACTGCAATGCAGAATATTCTGTATATTCTGTGGACAGACTATTATCGACTGATAAGAGGGACAAATTTGAATATTAAAGCAATAAATAAAACATGTATTAAATTCTCGTTTATGCGAATAAATCTCAAAATAAGTGTTAAATATGATCTATAATTAAAAATAAATACAGAGGTTTTGTTATAAAATAATTATACTTTTATTGATTATTGGTTTACATAACAAATTATTTTCACTAAATGGTCAACAATACAGAAATGATTGTTCATAAATAGAGATTGAGCTGAGTTTGAGGTAATGGCTAATTATAACGCTTGACATCAATCATCGTTGAGATGCATAGAGAGGCAACTTTGGTCTGTATTACCCGTCGATTAGACAATTAGACAGAGAGAAGAAGGAGAGCTTTGGTATCGGTTTTTATTGGATAAACACAGTATTGATATTTTTGTCACGACATTCAACGTTATGGTGACATTGGTTTCCAAACACATACAGTCATTGATAGCACTGGTATATAATGGTATTATTGGCTCCTCATTTCGCTTTCCGCATTGGATCCGTTTTTCCGATAGTTTTTTACGAAGAGATAAACTTTCAAGTTTTCAATTATGGCATGAATTATCTTCTCTTCAAAATCTTTATACAGTTTTTGTGTTTTTATTCCTTTTTACACAGGAATCCTAAACCATAGAAATAGGTCTATATATTGATAACAAATCTTATATATTTCATACTCTATTCACATAAACAGAACAGACTGTTAGACAGTAGTAGTAGTGGTCGTCGTCGTCGTCGGCGTAATAGTAGTGGAAGAATAGTGTTGTCTATAATAGTGTGAGAAATGGAGGGCTGGAGAGAGCGAAGAGTGTCAGTCTTCCTGTGATTCAGTCTTAACCATGTCTTCGGGCATGTCTTCAAAGAAGGTGGGCATATGAATCTGTCGTATGAGTGAACTCACTGTCTCTTCCCTGAATTTACATTTGCACAGTATGTTCCTAAAGGCTCGGCGAAAGTCTTTACTAAACAATCCGTAAATGCCTGAAACAAATTGAATTCACAAACAATTTTAGACATCCGAACCCTACATATCCCTACATATACTTTACTATACAGTATATTATACACAACACATAAAGTACAGACATTGAAATATATACAGTAAACACCGAAACACTACAGTTCAAGGCATTGATTATATTTCATGGAAACAATTCTTGTGTGAACAGAAAAAAAGGATTTTGTTTTCAACGTTTGATTTTTAACTTTAAATATATGTAAATGAATTCGCGATCAAATAAATTATAAACTTATTTAAAACTCAAAAATAAGCGCTTTAAACAATATTGTTCACACATTTAGTATGCGATTCGCGTAATTTCACTGAATATTTACATTATTCATATGAAATTCATTGAAATGATAAAAATATGATTAATAATAATGAGGGCAAAAACTTACACGGATTGATCATTGAATTACAATAACCCAACCAAACGAATATAGACAATAGTAGATCGGGTATACAATCGTTTGAAACACAGAATGCCCTTGCTAAGTACACGGTGAAAAATGGCAACCTATATATTACACAACACACAATAATTAAACAATTAATTCATTGTTATAAAGTGGTAATGAAAGCGTGAATCGGATGTACAGACCAGCAGAGTATGAATCCGCCGACAATAATGCCAACAGTTTTGGCGGCTTTGGTTTCGGCGTGAAATCGTTTGGCCTGATATTTGGACGTCCTTTTGCTGAACCGAGTCATCACAAGTTTGCCACTCCTGGCGCTGCCCTCACGCGAAGAACAGGGACTACTGGATGAGGGGATACTGAGTGTGGACTGATTGCTGGGAGACATTCGCCTGTTTTGGCCGTTTTGTTCGCAATTGTTCGGTGAGAGACTGGCCGTCAGTCGCGACGAGCGATACAAAGTGATTGGCATTTGTTTTTTGCCGCCACCGCTGGTCGTGGCACCGGTGGCGCCGCTGTTTGGGGTCACCGTAATGGTGGTCGGCTTCAGCTGGTCTTTGCTGTGAGCGCCGCCCCGTCTCGACGACGACTTGGATGCGGACGTCGACTGGTTTTGATCACTCGCTTGACTTTCATGAGTGTTGTTGTGGCGAAACGAGCGAGACTTGTGTCCGCCGCCGGCACCCGAAAAGTTGGTGGTGTTTAATGTGTTGCTCTCGTTATGTGTTGACAAGTAAGTGGACGTATTGGTTGCGGCGGCGCTCTGGACGTCATCGCCGTATCCCCGATGGATACGAAGAGTGAGGCGCTCGTCGTGAGAACCGTTGCATTTGGTGGTCTTATAACCCCTGGCGAGTGCACGGGATGTCCGACTGGCGACCAGATATATACGCCAATAGAAGAATACCATTACAAACATCGGGATAAAGAAGGAGCCGAGCGCTGAATATATGACATATCCCTTGTCCTGAAAAAGATCACACTTTCCACGACTGGGCTGACAGTCCCGCGCATTATATGCCGACTCGTCGTCTGTTTTGTTAATAAAGTCACTCAAACTATTCATTAAATGATTATCATTTTGGCTGAGAGTGTCTATCGATGGACTCGTACTCGAGATAATGCCGACGGAAGACGTATTGAACACCTCGTGAAGACTGGGCACAGAAGTAAACGTTTGCTCACTTTGTTTGCTTAATGTTGTCGGATATGAATGAGTGGTGAGTGAAAGTAAATGAGAAGTCGAGTCGACATCCAATCTATTGTTTGATTGAATCAATGGTGTCTTCTTGTCGTTCCAGCCGACGAGCTATACATTCAATGCAAACAAAAACCACAAATTCATTGCAATTCTCTCTATTTATTTATTGCAACACAGAATATGTGTGCAAATCAATGAAAAAGACAATCATATAGTGTCTGACCGGAGGAAAGCATATGATAAACGACAGAACCCACACACAGGCGATGAATATCTTAGCCCTTTTTGATGTCATTATACTCCTGTATCGCACCGGACGAGTGACCGCTAAATACCGATCAATAGAAATGGCGCACAGATTCAGGACTGAATGCAAGAAAGAAAAATAGTTTTTTTGTTATGAAAGTTAAGTATTTTATATGAATAATATCTTTAATGTCAACACTCACTGCTTGCGGTACACATCCACACGTCGATAACCAACCTGTTGTCAAATCAACACAATATCTGTTAGACACACACTCTATGTCTAAAACATTGTCAAACAATATCATGTCATACCAGCCCTTACACCAAATCTCGCCAAAAACCCAGACATCAAGAATCTGAACACAAAAAGAGAAAAAAAAGTAATCGATTGTATAGAATGTGAGGTAATTTTGATATATAATTAATGGTTGGTTTCACTTAGAAGAGGGGATATTATGAGAAAAAAAGTTGATGAACTGATTGTCAAGCTATACATGTATAGTGAATGTCAACTACTGGTCCTTATTGTCTACTACACTGTTGTAACTTATTTAATGAGACCCTTAAAACACTTGCAATCCATTCGCTTGAGTGCCAGCCTTACGACCAGCAAAAAACGATACAGTATTTTACTATTTAGTATTAAATATCATCTTTACTTTAACGGCGAATGGGTTTTCATAGATAATGTATTGATATATAGAATGACACAAATTGTAAGAGAGAGAGAGAGAGAGAGAGAGAGAGAGATTTTGTTTATAATATACAAAATTCATATATAATTGCATAGAAAAATAACTCCTAAACTGATAAATAATTGCTCTAGATTGTCATTTTGACCGAAATAATCTTTTTTAAAATAATTTACTTGGTTTCAATTAAAAATATTTTATATAGATAAAACAATTCACACATAAAGATGCTATACGTTAACAAGCATTCTTATTTATATAGCATTTAAAGTAAAGATATTTAAATAAAAGCAGAGATTTCTAAATAAATCATTAATAATAATTATCCATACATACATCATATAATTTTAAATATATAGTTCTCTCTCTCTCTCTCTCAAAACATTATGTATAATAATAAATGAATATACTGTAGAATATTACAATGAGTTAGTGTTTGCTTCCCAGAATATATCATTGATATTAAAACTATTTTCAAGTGTTTTGTTTGCAAGAATTTGAAAAATACAAATTGTATTCCTTTGACATACTCTCTCTCTCTCTCTCTCTCTCTCTTTCTTTCTTTCTTTCTTTCTTTCTTATTTTATTTTATTAAATAATATAATGGAAATCATATTGGTGTTATTATAGGAATAGTTTAAAAAACTATATGACATTATTTTGTGATTTTTTTATCAAATTGTTTTGTGTGATTCACTCATTTGGACACAATTTGATAAATAACCTTAATTTACTGCAAAGAGTTTTGCACCGATTATTATGTACACCATTTATAACGTGGATATGTTTGAATAAAGTGTACAAAACAAGAATAATATACTGTATTGTATGGAGAATTAGGATATCTATTGTATGAAAAGTTTCACAAGTCTCTCATACATATAAATTACATGTTTTGTTCATTAAGTGTCGCATAGAGTAGTCAGTCATTCATGAAATTGTCATCAATTAATAAAACACTGAATTCACTGTATAATACATTTCATTATATTTTCATCGACAAGAGAGAGAGAGAGAGAGAGAGAGAGAGAGAGAGAGAGAACAAAAAAGATGTTATTATAATATACTAAAACATATTTTAAGTTAAAATATTTAACCCAAAAATGTGACAAATAATACTACATTTTGCTATATTATTTATAAATATGATTATCAGTATTGTAATGGAAAATGTATTATCAGGAAATAAAATTAACATAAACCTAATAAACTAATTAAATATTAAGCATTAATCAATTTGTTTTGAATAAACAAGTTTTTTAATCAAAATAATAATGTGTGTGTTTTCTCATGAAAAAAAATAATTGTCTTTTTTGTGAAATGATTGCCTATAAAAGTGAAAAAGAGGATAACTTTAAGTTACATTTTATTAGATATTAGAGAGTCACAGAATATTCTGTATATACAGTAAGTAATATAGTAGTCTGTTATTTAATAAAGTGTCTGAGCAAATTAACCATGTAATAACTCACGGAATTATAGTAAAATTAATAAAACAAATTATATACAAGATGTATAATAAATAATTGTTACATAATGTATTGAGTGAATGCAAACATTGAACACATGCATAACAATGAAAGGAGCAAGACCAATTAATTGGTATTTTAGTTATTTAATTCTATCGCTTCGATTGATTGGATTACAACTTAATACAAGACAAGTGACGACAACAACATCTCCGACACGATTAGGATTGGCGTCAAAGTGGAGGTCGAGAGCGAAATGTGCGGACATTTGTTGTGTAATATCGGCGACAGTAATCTTCGTGAGTAGTCTAACGTTGACTGCATTAACGCAGTTATATCTCCTGAGGATCGGCTCCGCCAGCGATGCCTTATATAATGTGTTCTCGTTATTAAAGTTAGTTTTTTCGCTAATCATTATTGTATGCTTTCATCGGCGAAGAGACGCCGCGACGCGACTCCTCCGACACATTCACAACACTTTACATCTCTTTCTTATTGAGACCAGAGTTTCACTCATTATGACTCAATTCAGGCATCAGTCCATTGTATTGTGTTTGGTATGAATTAATACAACCAAGTTTTCTTTTTCGAAGTTGTCATCTCTCTCTCTCTCTCTCTCTCTCTCTCTCTCTCTCTCTCGCTTATCAAAGGCACGCAAATAAATATATTTGTGCACAAAATTGGTTTTCTTTAATTTTCAGGTGTTTTTATCTTTTTGTTTATTTATTATATGTCTCTCTCTCTTGTCGATGAAAATATAATGAAATGTATTATACAGTGAATGCAGTGTTTTATTAATTGATGACAATTTCATGAATGACTGACTACTCTATGCGACACTTAATAAACAAAACATGTAATTTATATGTATGAGAGACTTGTGAAACTTTTCATACAATAGATACCCTAATTCTCCATACAATACAATATATTATTCTTGTTTTGTGCACTTTATACAAACATGTCCACGTTATAAATGGTGTACATAATAATCGGTGCAAAACTCGTTGCAGTAAATTAAGGTTATTTATCAAATTGTGTCCAAATGAGTGAATCACACAAAACAATTTTATAAGAAAATCACAAAATAATGTCATATAGTTTTTAAACTATTCCTATAATAACACCAATATTCAATATAATTTCCATTATATTATTTAATAAAATAAAAAAGAAAGAAAGAAAGAAAGAAAGAAAGAAAGAGAGAGAGAGAGAGAGAGAGAGAGAGAGAGAGAGAGAGAGAGAGAGAGAGAGAGAGTATGTCAAAGGAATACAATTTGTATTTTTCAAATTCTTGCAAACAAAACACTTGAAAATAGTTTTAATATCAATGATATATTCTGGGAAGCAAACGCTAACTTATTGTAATATTCTACAGTATATTCATTTATTATTATACATAATGTTTTGAGAGAGAGAACTATATATTTAAAATTATATGATGTATCCATGGATAATTATTATTAATGATTTATTTAGAAATCTCTGCTTTTATTTAAATATCTTTACTTTAAATGCTATATAAATAAGAATGCTTGTTAACGTATAGCATCTTTATGTGTGAATTGTTTTATCTATATAAAATATTTTTAATTAAAACCAAGTAAATTATTTTTAAAAAGATTATTTCGGTCAAAATGACAATCTAGAGC